GGGCCTGAGAATCTGCATTTCTAACAACCTCGTGGATGATGTTGATGAGTTTGGTCCAGAACTACATTTGGAGATCCCCTGGTCTAGATGAATTTTAAAAGAGTTATGTGATTCTGGCACAAGAAGACCAGGAACAGTTTATTTTATTTTATTTTTTTGTGAGGAAGATCAGCCCTGAGCTAACAATCATGCTAATCCTCCTCTTTTTGCTGAGGAAGACCGGCTCTGAGCTAACATCTATTGCCAATCCTCCTCCTTTTTTTTTTTTTTTTCCTCAAAGCCCCAGTAGATAGTCGTATGTCATAGTTGCACATCCTTCTAGTTGCTGTATGTGGGACGCGGCCTTAACACGGCCAGAGAAGCGGTGCGTCGGTGCGCGCCCGGGATCCGAACCTGGGCCGCCAGTAGCGGAGCGCACGCACTTAACCGCTAAGCGACGGGGCCGGCCCCAGGAACAGTTTAATATAGTATTTGTTACATAGACATGTCTTCATAAAAGTAGATTATGATTTTCCCCATATTTCCAAGACTGGACTTCAGGGTTTTCAAGTGTTGACAATGGTGAATAAAGTTTTAAAATAGCATACTCTTTTTTGTTTAATAAAAATATTTTAATATTAATTGCTTTTCAAATGTCAACTTTATTTTTAATAATTAGTATTAGTTGATTAAACAATATGCTATTCATTTTCATATGCCCATATTGAAGGTATTTATATGCACATATAGCTAGAACTTGAGTTATTCCATCCATGGCCTGAATATTTCATTTTCATAAAAGTTAGTGATACACACCATTCCCTGCTTGTGTCAGAGATCCCTAGGATGACAGATTAGCAGGACCGTGGGAACAGATTGCTTATACTACCTTGACTCAACTTGCTTCATACTTCCTTTCATCCATACAAACCAAGACTTCCCTGGTTTGGAGTCCAATCAAATGTAAACAGTTTCTGGGATAGAATTAAAAAGATGTGAATGCCAAAGTAACTGCCAAATATAGTAGTCAATAATCTGATCTGCATGGATTTACTAAGTGCCTATTATATGACAAGCATTTTTATACATGTAAGTCACTTAATCCTCATAACAAATTTATTATTCCAATTTCACAAATAAGGAAAATGGGACTTAGCCATAAGAAATGACTTGCCCAAGTATCAACAGATAGAAAGAGGCAGTTCCAGGGTTTGAGTCTGAAACTTCCAAAGCCTGGTTGAGGAATCTTCCTACAACTCTGTTTCTATTTTAAAAAGAAAGTGAGGAAAAGTTGTTGCTGTTGTTGTGATTATTTTTGTAAACTACTGACAATATAATGATTCTATATTAATAAATTTGGAGTGCTAATTGGGAGAAATCGATTCCAACTCAGGATTAAATAGTTCTTTAGGAAATTTTTGTTTTAGCCAATGACAGTGATTAGGAAGCTTTTTGCCTTTTAAAAACTATAAACCCTTTTGCAAAGCTGATAAGTTATGGACACTTTTCTCATTGAAAATGCACCTGTACACAAATACACAACATTTTATAGTTTTTGGAAGATTCACAGACCCCCTGAAGATTGTCTTGAGTCTCAAAGAGTTCACTGACCATAAGATAAAAACCTCCATTTTGGGATACTCAGCTCAAGGGTGAGGTACAGGTGGCAGGAATCTTTTTAGAGCTACATGGAAACTAAAAGCAACTGCTTGGATTGTTTCTTTGGAGGTAAAGATGTTAAAATCTTTATAACAAACAGCCTATAAACTTAATAAAGTGAGCTGAATAATAGTTAAGATCTAATTTATGATTATTGTTGTGGACTTGGTTTGAAGGAGAAAAGAATAGAAGACAGGCATGAAATAGAAAGAGAAGTTGAGAGAGCAAAAAAAAGGGATGGGGATAGTTAGAGAGGCAGAACGGAAGTGGGGAGACATGAAACGATGAGATGGAAAGAGAGAGAATGGCCCACAGACCCATAGAGAGTGGAAAAAACATGTGGAGGAAGAGAAAGTCAAAGAGGTAGAAAAAGAAGAAACCATTATGGATAGAAACCTTTCTAAGCTGATTTTTGTTCTAATGAAGTATGGTCTTCACAAGAGTTGAGCCCATACTTGTCATCAGAATTCAATTCTAAGTATAAAGAAATAGCCCTTAATGTTTTTCCTAGTGTTACATTCTTTCTATTAAAATTCACCAGGGGGGCTGGCCTGGTGGCCCAGTGGTTAAGTGCGAGTGCTCTGCTTCGGCGACCTGGAGTTCACAGGTTCGGATCCTGGGTGCGCACCGATGCACCACTTGTCAAGCCATGCTGTGGCCGCGTCCCATATAAAGGAAGATGGGCACATATGTTAGCCCAGGCCAATCTTCCTCAGCAAAAGGAGGAGGATTGGCTTCGGATGTTAGCTTAGGGCTAATCTTCCTCAGCAAAAAAGAGGAGGCTTGATATTGGATGCTGGCTCAGGGCTGATCTTCCTCATAAAAAAAAAACAAACTCACCAGGATTCAGAGTAATGAATATAATTAAGGGCCAAATATACCAACTTACATAATTTATCTCCTGCCAAAATAAACTATAGTTACATTTTCAGGAGATGTGGGAAAGCTTACCCACCTCCCAGAATCAATAGGATGCACACACACACCTACTTACATATACTTATAACTACAAAATCAAGAGTGTAGAAAAATATCATTCCTTCAAATATCAGCTGCTGTTTCAGTAAGATAAGTAAATAGATACATCATGGTTGCTCCTAGAAATATTTAAATTGTTTAACAGATAGGACTTCCTAAAATCATGCAGCGACTCTGAGTCACTGAGATTTAATATTAGCTTTTATGGGAAAAGCAAATGTAATACCAACTGTGGTAGAATTTGCAAAAGTGACTGCAGTCTGCCCTCCCTCTATCCACGTCCCTTGCGGTCTGACTTAGCAGCTCCTCTCAGTAGCAGCTCCGCTCAGTAGGAGGAGGGGTCGATTTCACCTCTTGAAACAGGGCTGGTCTTGTGATTTCCTTTGACAAGGATGTGGTGGAAATGGCAGTGTGCCACTTCTGACCCCATGCTTCAAGAGGCCTTGCACACTTCCACTTTGCTCCCAGGTGCCCTGTCTCTACCGTGAGAACAAGCCTGGCTTAGCCTGCTGGAGGACCTGACTTGAGTCACCCCAGCTGTCTCAGTCAAGGTCCCAGGCACAACGACAAGGCTGATCCACAGATGCCTGCAGATGCATGAGAAAGTCCAACTGTGACCAGAAGAACTGTGCAGCTGATCTCAGCTGAGCCCAGCCTGATTGCTGACCCACAGAATCTGAGCTAAATAAATGGTTACTTCTTAAGCCACTAAGTTTGAATATAGCTACAGCTGACTGATATGCCAGTAAACATTTATTGAGTGTTAAGTATATGTCAGATCCTCTGCTAAGCATCTTAGATACATTATCTCATTGAATCCTCTTAACAACCCATGGACGCAGATACTCTTTTTATCCACAGTTCACAGAAAAGAAAACAGCTATTTTTACCTCCTCATAGCTAGGGGAGGGTAAAAATTTATGCCCAGGTCTCCCAAGCCTGACCTCTAAACTCCAGTGCTGTACTGCCTCCATCTGAATTTGCTGGTTGGTGAATCCTAAGAAACTTGTACAACTTTCAGGGTTATTACTTTAAGAAATGTTAATTGGTCTCTTTAACCTTAGCACCAAGGCAAGAGTTCACAAACCTTGTTCTCTGAGAAACTACTTTTGGTGGTGAATTTGCCGCTCCTACCAGCTTCCTTCTTGCTTCCCACCACCATGTCCCTTGGTGAGGTGCTCTCACGTCACTCTAAATGGCTGGTGGGTTGAGGGGAAAGTGGTTGGCAGTGGGCGGAATACTTTTACCTTAGTCAAAAAAATTCCATGTAGTATCCAGTTATTTTAACAAGATGGTATATATTTTTTGGAAGAAGAAAATACGTATGTATAGCCATCAAAATCAAAGGTAATTGTGGCGTAAGCTCACCAGTTTAGATAGCGTGCTTAGTGTCGAGTTACCGCCACCACCTAGAGACAATGTTCCAAACTGCGAGGTTTAATTCCTTCAAGGTGCCTTAAAAAATCTGTAATGCTTGAAAGACGCATAACAGCAAGGTCTCTTCAGTGTTATCAGTTATTTCTGCAACACTTAGAATTGTTGCATATGTCTTTGTCCTCCAAAAATAGTACCTCGTTCCCCCATGAGTGAGATATCTCATTATTTTACATTATTAACCAAAGCTCATTTTTTCCAGTGAGTCAGATCCAGCCAATTCAAGTTCTTTTATAAATCCGTGTTTTTGATGCTTTGGAAATTTGAACAAAATCCTAACTGAAAGCCAAGTTTTCCCAGATATTCTAACTGGGCAGAAGCCCTACTTGTCGGCTTTATAAAGTCATAAATATGATTGTGGGTTATATAATAGGTAAGCCGGACTTACTGCTTTTTTCCTCTTTTAAGTTTCATTTTTCTTTCATAACTGTAGTAAGCAAAAGATAAGAAAGCAATAGCAGCTAACAAATGTTACCTGCTGTATGCCTTTGCATTTAATCTTCTCAAACTCTCTTAGTGGAGGTACAATTTTCAAACCCTTTTACAACATGAGGAAACTGAGGCAAAGAGAGGTTAGGAAGCACTCTCAAGTTTACATAATTGGTTATTGTTGTAGTCAAACCAGGCAGTCTGCTTCAGAGCCCACATTCTCAATTTCTGCACCTTTCTGCCTCTACGACATTAACTGGGCAGGTTTGCGGGTTAAAAAACTTACTACGCACACAATCACTACTTTCCTGAAATATTGGCTGTGATACTAATACACAGAAAAGAATGAGTATTTTAAGCTAACAAAATAAATGTAAGATTTCCTTCAGCGACATTATACTCTGTATTTCAACTTAGTTTCCTCTTCTCCCCTTCCTCTTTCGGATACCAGAGGTCTCGGTGACTTCACCTTCAGTCCGTGTGCCTCTGGTTCTCGCTGTGACTACAGGCGCTGCACTCACCGCAGTTGTCCTCATCCGCCCGGTTCCCACAGTCGTCCACACCGTTACAGTGAAGAAACTGAGGCAAGCACTTGGTCATGTTCCCACAGGGGAAGTAGCCGAGGGAGCACTTGACATCCTGCCCACTCCCGTGAGCAACTGTGATGAAGGAAGGAGAGAAGGTTAATACAAAGGCTCTGCAAAAAGTGGTCTCCCCCAGTATTCTACAACCAGTTGGTCCTCTCATTCTGGCGGGTACAGCCCTCTGTATGGCAGCCTCACCTTACTTACTAGCCCGATGCCAACTATTTTCCAAGAACCTCTACTGCAATAGGATGCTCTTTTCCATGTCCTTGGAAGGTGCCAGGATTCTCCTCTCTTTGCCTTTTCTCATGCTGTTTCCCACCCAGAATGTCTTCCCCATCCCTCTATGAAATGCCTGCCTATACTTTACAGTTTAGCTCAATTCCCCTCTTCTTTTCTAAACGTTTTTCAGTCACTTTTTTTTGTGTGTGTGTGTGTGAGGAAGATTAGACCTGAGCTAACATCTGATGCGAATGCTCCTCTTTTTGCTGAGGAAGATTGGCCCTGGGCTAACATCCGTGCCCATCTTCCTCTACTTTATATGGGACGCTGCCACAGCATGGCTTGACAAGTGGTGCATCGGTCTGTGCCTGGGATCCGAACCGGTGAACCCCAGGCCTCCAAAGCGGAGTTCTTGAACTTAACTGCTACGCCACCCCGCCTGCCCCTCAGCCAATCATTTTAAAATCAGGAATTTATTGCATTCTTACTATTGGCTCAGAATCAAGGCTGGTCTGGTACTAGAGGAGGATGAAGACATAGAGGATATCAGGAGAGCATGTGCCACGTGCTTGTTCATATATTGGATCATTCCTAAGTGTGAGGCCCTGTGCAAGATATTGTGCATACAGCATTGAATGAAACAGAGTTCGTGCCCTTTTCAGATTGGCTTCTTTCACTTAGTAACATGGAGGAAGTGACAGTGTCTCTATGTCTTTTCATGGTTTAATAACTCATGTATTTTTAGTGCTGAATAATATTGCATTGTCTGAATGCACTACAGTTTGTTTATCCGTTCACCTACTGAGAGACGTCTTACTTGCATCCAAGTTTTGGCAATTATGAATAAAGCTGCTATCAACATCCATGTGCAGGTTTTTGGGTGGACATAAATTAACTATGTTATTTTAAAATCTCAGATTTATATAATTTAAAAGATTATTGTAGACTCCAAGTATAATTCTGTTGCTTATTATCCTTAACCAAGTTTGTACATCTTTGAAACTTTCTAGGATAATTGTCAGTTATAAAGAAATAAAAAGAGAATAATTTGAGCAGTCAATAAAGCTTATTATGTATGTAAATATGTATTTTTGATCTGTCATCAAAACATAAAAAGAATAAAAGTGACTATTTCCTTTGTAAGATACAATGGGACATTTTAATAACAGGGCAAGTGACATTCTCATAGAGAAGCAATCCATCTATGTCAGGTTTTGCCTCTGCTTAGTTGTTTCAGAGCACATAATTTGATGAAGGAAATAGTCAAATCTGTATAATAATGAGCGATTCCAAACTCAAAGTTGAAAATACAGTATAAAGAATGTCTTCCCCCTCTGAACCATTTGAGAGTAAGTTCTTGACCAGATGTTCCATCACCCCTAAAAACTTTGGTGTATGTTTCCTATTTAAACAAGGACAGGTTCCTATATAACCACACTAGAACCATCAAAGTCAGGAAATTAACATTGATAATTTACTACCATTTAAACCTCAGAATCCATTCGTGTCACTTATTGCCCCCAAAATGTCCGTAGTAAAAGGATCACAATCCTTTTAGTTCATAATCACTCCTTGCATTTAATTGTCACATTTCTTTAGTTTCTTTTGATCTGGAGTAGTTTCTCAGTCTTTCCCTGTCTTTCATGACCTTGACACTTTCGAAAATTGCAGATTAATTATTCTGTAGAACGTTCCTGAATTCGGGTTGCCTGATGTTTCATCATAATTAAATTTAGGTTGTGCACCTTTCAGAGAAGTGATGCTCATTTCAACCTGTCAGGTAGTGCAAGATTTTTGTTTTTTCTATTACTGATGATGATCACTTCGGCCACTTGATTAAGGTGATGTCCCCCCAAACTTCTCCACTGTAAAGTTTGCCTTTGTAATTAATAAGCATTTTGTACAGCACTTTGAAACTATGTATAAATCCCTTCACTCATCAAAATTTCAATTGATTCATTTATTTCTATCAGATAGACTTATAGTTTCCTGCTTTACTCGATGTGTTACAATCCATTAATTACTATAATTCATTTTGATGTACAAATTGTCCAAGATTCGGCCAATGGGAATTCCTTCAACCTAGCTTTGGTGTCCTTTTGACATTTACCCTTTTCTTTGAGCACTTCCTTGCTCTCTGGGACAAAAAGATGTTTCAAGATCTTCTTCTACTTGCCCTATCGTAGCCCTGGAATCAGTCATTTCTCTAAGGAGCTCTGGTTCCTTTTAAGATAGAATAATATTTAGAAGCCATGATGTAGACTCTGGGTATGCTCATTGATCCTGGAGTATCACTGTTACCAGCCCCTCTCAGCGGACAGGCTAGGAAATATATGTATAGTTATTCATATACACACACATTTACTTCTATATTTCTCTATATATCTTTGGATAAGAAAACAATGATTTCATTTCTAATTCCTAACCAACACTACAAGCTTCAGTCTAGTTTTCTCCCTTTACATATATGAACTCCCTTCTCTCACAAGGAGAAACTGGCTTTCTATTATCTTTAATATAGTTGTTATTTTGACAAATCCTCTTCCCGCATGGATGCCCTCCTCAACCCCATTCAGCTCTGACTCCCTATCATGGGCATCTTTCCTACGTGAGTACTCTCCTTGTCCTGTTTGGGATCTGATACACAGTGCCAGGCACCAGCTCCCTCTGTAGACACTCGTATCACCCCATTGGGCTCCAGAATTCCTCTCTGGGCTACCACAGCTCCTCTATCACCCCAATGCACAGATGAATACCTTTCTCTGATTCACCAAATGGCTTCAGGACCCAATCGTTCAGGAACAGAAGTGGTAGAGAAAGGGGCCAATAAGTGATGTTTATAGGCACATTTTGGAGAAGTGGAAGGGGGTTAGAATACGCCATCCCAGAATACGCCAATTTGGCATAAAGATTATTTTGAGCTGAAGGCAATTGAAAAAAAGCAAACATAGGAAGAGATCTCTGCCCACTCCCTATCAGCCTAAAAGCAGGGCATAGAGATTTCCCTTTCCCTGCTCTGTCTCATACCAGGAGGAGAGCAATGCTTATCACTGGAGATGGAAAGTCAGCAAGAAGAAGAGTTTGCACAAACAAACCTTACTAAAGTAACACTTTTCTTCCATTGGTTTCTGCATATATTTACTTTCCCACAATCTGCCACCCTAGAAGCCCCTCCTTCCTTTGTCTAGTCAATTCTCCACAGTCTGTCACCCTTTGTTAAAATGGTATATAAGCCCTCAAGTCTAAGGACTTCTGTGAGTCTTCACTTTTTTTCTGTGGAGCCTCAATGTCTGTAGAATTTAAAATATTAACATCAATAAAATTTATAAACTTTTTTCCTGTTAGTCTGTCTTTGTCAGTTCAATTTGCAGGTCCTTGTCATAGACTATAAGAGGATAGAGGGAAATCTTTCCTTCCTTACAAAGTCAAAAGCAAAACCTAAAGAAGTGGAAGTTTTTTTTTTCCTTTATACTATGGTTTGTCATGGAACCATGTCTTTAAGAACAGCAATAAATCATATTGTAATAGCAATAATAAATAGAAAAAATGATATCGAGTATCTCTGGAAGAGTATGCCCACAGAGTTATAGAATAGTTCATAGTGGAGCAAGTAAACATGCTATAGGCATGTAACCCAGCTATCCTGCTGCCCCTGAGTGCTGTTTCTGTCCCGTGCTATTCTAAACATTTCAGTGGTTGACAATTTTAAAGGAGTGAGATAAAAGAGAGTTTGTATTCCAATGTGAATTATCTTAACTATTCTCTTTAGATGGAACTTTTCATAAAGTCTCTGAGGCTTGAGCGCTAATAGGGATTCACCTTTTCCACCTCTGAGTAGCTTCCAGGCTCCCTGGCTGCAGCCTTCTTAGGGTTTGGATCTCCTACAACCCCTATATCGCTTAGATCTTTCTCATGCAGAGTAACTCAGAGTAGCTTAGCCTTCTTCCAAACATGTATAGCCATACCTAGGAGCCCACATCTCCTTATAAGGCAGTAGAGATTATAAAGAACAGCTAAGAAATCCCACCCGCACTCTGTAAGCTTCCAAAGGATCACTATGTGTGGCACTGTTAGGATATGGAATGGAATACAAAAAAGTATTGACAAGACTTTCACATGTTGAGGTATATGGGGCAACTTCTGGTTCAAAACTGATTTGGCTTGAACTAGAGAAGCCTGACTTACGGTCTGTCGAACATGCATTGCACATCTGCTTTAATCATTAAAGAATGCACTCTCTTAAGATAAGAATGCATAATTCCCCTCCTACACGCTATTGGTAATGCCCCATTGGTAATGCCTTATTGGTAAAGCCCATATTAGTCCCTTTCTCGACATCAGGGTCATGTTGATCTGCTAATTTGCAACTGAATACCTTTTTGAAACTTTGATGAATGAGTATCCTGGGCATGTTTAATGTATGTTCTTTGTTCTAAAAAGGTATAAAGGTAGAAGACTGCACTGAACACCATGCTTCTCCAGAATGCTTTCTTCCTTTGTGGAAAAGACCTTCCTGGGTTATAATCTTCACCCTGGCTCAAGTAAAACTCACGTTATCTCTCATATCTATAGAATGGTTATTTGTTATTTTGGGTTGACAGAGTTGTTATTGAAATTAATTTTTTTTTGTGGCAAAATGTACGTAACATAAAATTTACCATTTTAACCCTTTTGGAGTATATACTTTAGTGGCATTAAGTACATTCACATTGTTGTGCAGCCATCACCACTACCCATCTCCAGAACTTATCCATCATCTCAAACTGAAAAAAATGGTTATATGCTATGAAGTTGGTGGTAATGCCTTAACCATGTACGTGTTGTGCAGACCTGAGGGCCTCTTCCATCCTTGG